ACATAATTTTTGTGGCAATAAATCTTTATTGATTCTTGACTATCGTCTAGTCGTAGTAGCTAGGTGAATATTGTGGCGTCTTCGAACTCTATTCAGGCCACTATGTAGGCCATAGTAATTATCACAATTTGCAATTCCTTTTAACGGAGAAAGTTTATCTTTTGCTATCTGTAGTACGTCATATAGTTTACACCACGGTGTGGTCTCTGTTGATTTGTTTAGATATATGTTGAATCAAATCTGAAACAGTTTTGACGTCCGTATTCATGAACATGATGTTTTCGCGTTCCAAATGACATCAACCATAAACATACAAATAACTTCTGTGCCTCGGGACTGTTCATTAGTGAGGCTTCCTCGAATAACTCCATACAGAAATAACCAATAACCGATGATAAGGCGTTCCCATGGTTGCCCCCTCGTTCTACTCGTGAAGCTGGCCTTTCCAGCTGGAATAGATCGATACTTCGGCAGACCGTCTGGGATGTATTTTCATTGTAGACCTTTATCGGCACTTTGAAGAGTGTTTCCACGTCGAAGCTGGCTACTATCCAGGGGAATATTCTACATCAATGAAATTGCATATTTTTTTTTTTGACTCACTTATGACTCACCATTTTAGATAATTGTAAAACCTACTTTAAAGATCGTATTAACTATGTTGTATATTTAGCAATTTTTCACCACGCAGTTGGATCACAATTCTGAGAACTCGTTAACTTTTTAATTTTCTTATTGATAGGCAATAAACAGTTGTGGTTGGTGAGTTTTACTCGAGACCACGGACAATGAGTTGCGGATGCCCGCAGGGGTTATTGTTACCTCTCACCATACCTATATATACATACAGGTACATAGCCTTGCTGCCGCAATACAGCACAATGGTCTCGCTTTTATTTGGCACAATCAACCAACGAGGTAGATTAAAAAGAAAATTTATACAATTATCTTATACAGAAAATTTGCTTCATCCAATGATATTAAATCAAATAGAATTATAGATTAATTGAAAGGCATAGATAGCATAGATGCTTTAAATTTATTTTATTTTGTATCTAGATAGTTGACTGAAAACTTCAACTACTTGAAGTTTTACGTTATTTCTGCTTATGTCTCATCAGATAGTGTAGCAACTACAATCGATAGTGCTACGTTAATTCATCGCGCAAACACCATTTCATAAGCACCTCGAAGAAAATGATTTCTAAACAATCTTAGAAGTACACAAATATAACTGATTAGCAAGAATGGAACAGCGTATTTTTTCCTTTCTCATTGTGTGCTGCTTTTTGTCAAGTCTTCTCTTAGATGCTGATGTGAAATGATCTTGAACGGTCTTCTAGAAAATCACCTACCAGTTGGGTAACCAATCGCTTCACGTATTTCAAATATAAGGAATTTTTTGATTTTACGTTTTTTATATTTTTCATTTTTGTATAATATAAATAATCCTTGAAAAACAGTTGACAGACAGCGTATTGATCAGCTCATGTGTCGTAGTGCAATTTGCTCCAACTTGTAATAAAACCAGCAGAGCGTCCCTTTTATCTTTGCAGAACAGTAACATTGTCTTCTCTCTTTTACAAGTAACCGATTTATTATTATCCCTTTTTATTGATTTTTATTGCCCCCGTTAAATGACATTTCATTTTCATCAATTATTTTGCTAATTGAATGCTAATGGAGTATTCGCCTGGAAACCTATGGCAACCTTATGCGTCTATTTGTATGGTCAAAAATGTATCATAAAGATATACAGAATTTATAATGCTAATTCTGGTTTTTGAGTTGATAGACTCCAGAAAATTACTAAGAAGTTGTATTCGAGTTCTATTGTCTGTCTTTCGAGGATCTAGCTTTTAAGATCTGGTCAGTGTAACTTTATCAGTGAAATACCATATGTGTCGATTCCTCGATACTGGAAATTTGAAGACATGGTACTTTCTGTCCTATTGAAAAATTTATATACTGCAGGGGAACGTCACTTCCTCGAAATCAGATTCCATATCTTAAATTATATTCAGATAGGGTCACTATCTGAATTACTTCCAACATCGTTAACTAATAGTTAACTAACACTTATCTACTAAGTAGATAATATGCTATGCTATAACCAAAAGCTTCTTTCCTGGATATTATAGAGTGTAGTTTTGTTAACATCGTCAAGTATAATAAATTTTTATTGTGAATGTTATGGAACATTACTCGATTTTACTCGAATTGAAAGATTTGCAATTTACCAAAAACACATCCTATAAACATTTTATACATCGAAAAAATTTCTTTAGTAACGTAAGTGAGTAAATGAGCCGTCAATTTTAAAGGACAAAGCACTAAATGAGTTAAATTTATTTTACTTATTACATTACTAATCTTCGAAGAGAAATGTTGTTGATTAACTTTATGCTTAATGCGGTTATTTGATGATTCAGTTAAATTATTTTGAGATCCAACCCAAAGTTTTATCCAATTTGATTCCATACTATTTTAGTTATTCTATTTGATCCCACTTCGAACACTTTTATAAAAAAGGCACTTTTATGCCTCATATATACGTAGCATATCCCGCCCCTTAAAGGGTGCGTTAATAACACATGTGTAAACGAAGTTTGAACCAAGATCCGAATTCGCGGTTGCGCATTTTGAACGTTACATTATGTGGCGGCCATCTCGAAGGAAAGCTATGGCCACTGCTTATGACCTCGATTACGAGGGGTCTGCGAGGTAGCGGTATCGGCCCTACGGGTACAGGTTGTAACATCACAAACGTCTCAAGAATATGTATTCATTGGGGTCCAGTGGCCTAACAACCGTCTACGCGGACCAGATAATTTATATTCTCTTTCTGAATCAAAGCCGATTATATCTACATACTTTGCTAAGTTCGTTCTAACAATTTTATCCGCGGGATCCTTTTTAATTCTTCTGGAGGTATCTGAATGCAATAGAGTATTTATCTTGTTCTCGAACTCTTCTCCATTAATCACCACGATGGCATTACCTCTGTTTATAGGTCTGCAGGACGGCTATATCAGTTCTCTCTCTTATACCACGTAAAGAAAAAATCTTTCTGTTCGTTTCGCTTACTGCTACTAGTTTTGATGACTATGTCTAAATAAAATGTTAAACCGACTAAAACAAATATCCAACATACAGTGTTGGATAAATGTTCATTTAATACTATTTTATCCTTACACAAGAATTCATAAATCACTCGGAATATATAGAATACCTATCGATATCTTGAAAACCAGGGGAGAACAAGGAGTGGAAGGATACTTTGTGCACGATAAACTATGGAACATTATTTTTCGTTCTAAATTTAGCTGAAGAACGCCATTCATTAGGCTAAAATTGGTCAACTTATATTGAAACTCCAAAAGATCTCGACTTAACTCAGAACGGAGAATCTCTGACTTCTCCTGTTTATCCAGAAGTCAGAGATTCTCCGCTCCAAATTTTATCGAACGATAATTATCCAAATTATGACAACAATGTAAATGCTTAAGTATTTGTTGCGTCTGCCATTTAATTATGATGTCCCAAAATACTAAAGTTTTTGATTTCACCATGATAGTAACTTTTGATAATTTCGTGTTAACATTCCTGGGCATATTTTTCAGTCTATTGAAACGAATGATAATGAGAACTGGTACAACGTACCTGCAGTTTCTGTTTTATACTTCCTATGTTAATCCATTCGCAGATGTGGGTCATACAGTTAAAGTACGAGTTCTTAACCATCTCCACAGACAACTAAAATGTGTGAATAAAAACTTTGGGAAATTTTTCATTAGTCATATTTGATCCTCAAATCCTTCTTAGACCAGTACTATTCTCATTTTTACTTACAATAACTTCTAGCATTTGAATAGTAAAAAAACTATTAATTTTTCATTATCTGTAGCTTTTTGTAAAATCTTCGGCTAATTCCAGTACCACAGACAGAAAAGATTTTTTGCTAGGAAAACAAAATACTTCAAATCCTACAAACACCAGCAAAAAATATTTGATAGTATTCATCGAGTATGGGGTGTTTTTCTTCTTCCTCATATAACATGTCCCATATAACAGGACTCAGCCCTATCTTGCTTCAACACGTCAGCTTTCGTACCACCTCTTTGGGGAGTGTCCAGGAGATCTGGTTTTTTCCTCTTTTTCCATTTACGACAATCAATGTTCTGGAATTCTCCCGTTTTCACGTTTTTCAACTTCTGGATTTTTGTTTTATTTTTCACAATTGCTTGAAGAGTTCCGCCTTTATCTACTATGTATGAATTTTAATAGTAAAACTTCACATAAAATTATGTTTAAAGGCAGAAAGGTGTTTTGAAGGAATTCAAAATATCTGTATATTGTAATCATTGTAATTTATCCAGGCTGGTCGCTTCGAATATGTTAGGTAAACAGTCTTTGTTCGCGAGTGACTCAGATTTATTGCGTAACTTATTTTAAGATTTTTTTTGTTAGGTTGCGATCGAATAATCCAGCTTATAACTAAACTGTCTTCACGTTACTTATAAGATAGACGAAAAGTAGGCAAAGGATTACGTGGTAAGATCGGCAATTTTTCGATGGCTACTCTCCGATAAATCGCAACTAACAACTGTATTTCTTGGTTATGAATCATAGGGTATTATATTTAAACGCGTATATGAGGTTACTGTTCAAATGTCAAAACTGTTAATGAGTACACTCGAAGAAAATTAAGAGAGTGATTCTATGATTTGGCATAGAAAAAACTTCTATTAATTGGTATTCAAGAATATTTGAGAAGGTAAAATATGATTTTGAATTAACGCGTTAAGTAAAGAGAAAGTAAATTAATAACAAATTTATAATAATCTCTTTTAATTATAACTAGCTGATACATTTTCCCTTCTCACGTCACAAACGTGTGTTTTAGCTAATGTGTTATTTAGTATTGAATTATGTATCAGATATAACTAGTATTTAATAAAGAATTTTATTATACCACTATAAATTTTTCTTTATTGCAGATAGAAGCAACCGACCAAGTTTCTAAATTAATCTGCAATAGTTGCAGCTCTCTGGTGATCGATCTATATAAATTTCGACGAGCTGCCGTGGCCAACGATAAATCCCTAAAGGTAAGTGCTAACAATTGAAGCTCTATGCTAGGTGAGCTTAGCTCGCTCGATTCAATTCCTGTAATTAAATTCTAGTTAGTCGTACAACATTCTCTGCAGCATACTAACAAGGTGTAATATGAATTATAAAAGGTTATTTTTAATATTCTTCGTGTTAAAAAAAATACTCCAACGCATAATTTATGTTTAGAAACGTCTCGTGCAAACGCGCTGAAGTGAAGCAGGATAGACAATCTGTATTCTAGGACGTCGGCGTCGTTCGTGATACGTTAAAGCGATGTTCCCGTCCGGTTCATACATAGATTGTTCGCTAACGGCAGTTCTCCTTTAAGAAATCTATCCACCGCCACACAACTCTCCGAGCACCCTACTCGCCTGCATGGGTCGGTATTCCGCAAGCGACGAGCTCGGGCTCAGCGCTAACCCTCTCTCCCAACCCCCCCACGCTATTCCCCCATCACCCTAGCAACGAACATTTGAAGCTCGCTGGTGCCAAGGCCTGATGCGATCCCAGGTTTTGGCCCAGGCAGGCAAGTTACTGGATCCAAGTCTGTCGTTCGTTACGAGGTCAAGGACTCTTTGGCAACAACGTTTGAACAGTTGGCAATACTGGGAAGGCACACCCTAGAATTGACTAACCATTCTGACGTTTTTTTTTGCAATTTTGTTAGTTCTGACTTAATTGAATCACAAACTATCAAAGCAAATATATATATACATACTATAAAATAAGTATAAAACAAATTCATTTATATTAATGAAACGACACTAATTACAGCGCCATCTAGCGGATTTATCTTAGTGTGGATTTCATTAAGAAAGTCAATTCCTACGTATAAAAACGCTACCAAAGTACCTCGCATTCGCTTGCTTCAGTTGGCTCACTATTGTTAGTGTATATAAACAAGGTTATTAACTACGGAGAGTGCGCGCGCACTTCTCCGCGCAACGCATAAATTGGTGCAGTGTAACACGGTCTGGGATGATACCAATCACATCCAAGACCATCTTATGTTAGTGACAAATTAAAATGTATCTAGGTGAATTTTAATATTTTGTATGCTCTTGAATAACTGTATTCATAATTTTTATTTATGAAAAATCTAAATCAAAGGAGATCGCATAATTTTTAGTAACTATTAAATGGTTTCAATTTGTAGATCAAATTATAGATCGCCGAGAAAATTTTCAATACTACGATTTTAACTTTTAAGTTACTTCTTTTATGTTACTAAAAAACTTTCGTTTGAACTTACGAATTGAAATTTTGGATAACAAATGCCTAAGACATTCCAAAATTTTGCATCACTTTATGATATAAAAATAGCTTCAAATTGAATCAACCAATATCGAAAAATGAACTCGACTACTATTTGTATGGCTTTTATTAATTGAGTATAACGGTGCTAGTGGTGGAACGGATATCTGGAAACTATCCGGTAACCGACCTATCGAGGATAGTGGATAGTCACCAAATATTAAAAACCTATTACTTAGTACTCCACCATTCGCAGGAATTAGTATCTCTGCAGATAATAATCAAGTTCAACCCCAATAGGACTTTTTTCATTTAATACAACTTTATTAATATCAGGTTTGTTATTAGCAACCTCATTGTAACAATCCCAATACGATATATAAAATCTCTTGTTGCAGTGTCATCTAGTTTTCTTCTCTTCGCTTGTAATTCATCATCACATTCATTACTAAAAGAACTGTCGCTGAAAACAATATTTGAGGTTTTGATAAAATATTCGATACTACAATTTCAAAATTCGCTATAAAATTAATTTCTAGAAGGATCCTGCTGTAAATATCACCTATTATTAATTATAGTATTCTCTTTTTAATGCAAAAAGCCGTTTTGAAAAATCACTTTTAGTTCTTGAGAAATAAATTTTTGAAATAATGGACAATTTTGTCGAATTTTGCAATTTTCGCCAATTAAATTTTAATAATTCGTATAAAATCCATTTCTCGGAATATGAGTTTGAAAGTTTCCCAAAGTGTTAATAAGGATGTCCTCTTTCCAATGAACCAATCTGTTTTGAAAAATAACTTTTAGTTTTTGAGAAAACAATATTTGAAGTTTTGATAAAATTTTTGATGCAATTTTAATCGATAACTTTCAAAATTCGCTATAAAATAAATTTCTTGAAGGATCCTTGTGGAAATATCACCAATTAAAGTATCCTCTTTTAGAGTTACTTCGTTAGTTAAATCAGCATCAAAAAGGTTCATTTTGTATTTTGGATCCAAATAACTTGACATATTTTATTAGCCTTCTTATTAATTTCATTTTTATTATTTTTAAATATCGCAATAATAATAGTGTATCACGTCAGAAATGCACCAGAAATTATAACCATAATGGCCGGATAGATATGCCGGATATCCGGCCGAAGGCGATGCCGAATATCCGGCTATTCGCAAAATCACTATCCGTTCCATCACTAAAAGGTGGTAAATCCCAAAACGTGGTTAATTAGGTGGCCCACTTAATTATAAAACTTTTTTGGATAATACTTAATTAAATTTTTTTGTCTCAATTAGTTATGAGTAAGAGCTAGAACCTAATTTATATACAATTTTAAGATACAAGAACACTAACATTGACGTGGAAGTTAGTACAAAAAAGGCGAAATTCTGTTAGAGAATACTGGCAAAAATTTCTGCAGGATAAAAACATCAAGTTGTCAGAAACTGCTAGTGATAAAGAATGTTGGCAAAAATTTATCAGTGTTGTGGAGAACACCAAAATTTACACAAAGGTTTGTGTAAAATCTCTAAAATACTGACATTGATAAAGAAAATGTTTACAGGAAGAGGAAAATAGTTGGCGCAAACAAAAATTGTTCATAGAAGTACCCCAATACTGACACAGAGATTTTTTCAAAAATGGTTGATCACTTATACTGATAAATGATAAGTGGATTATTTAAAAAAACAAAGAACCCTGAAATTTTTGTTAAGAAAATTAGGAACGTTGAGATATAAGTATCTGTAAAATGTCAAAAACACTGTCATTAACAGGAAATTCAAATACTTATTGAAAGGTAAGTTTGTACAAAAATTGCATTGTTATTCATCATCATCCTGTGGCACTACATCGCTTGGTAAGGTTTGACCTTCTGAACAATCTGCCTCCCCTCCACTCTATTAAGTACTGTCACTCACCAATTTTGAACGCGCAGCTTCTTTATGTCGTTAGCCACACCCAAGGTTTTTCTATAAGAAGTTGTCTAAGTTCCTATGCTACAATGCTTTGATTTTAGTTTGTGGGCGAGGGGCAATGGTGGGAGTGTTTCGTGACGTAAGTGGCGGCGGATTGCGCTTGCAACCTCTAGGCTATGCGGATGTTGCGTGCGTTTTGTTTAGTGGGAGTTGAAGTGTCTTCACTAGTATTAGCATAAATATACTACTTTAGTTTCCGTCAATTATTTTATGATAAGTGAATTTATATCAAAAATTAAGTTGAATTATTTTCCGTTTTCCTAACGTTATTAATTATGTAACATAATAAATATATGTTGAAAGTAATTGAATTACTTTATTTTAAAAATTTGAATTATTTCATCAGTATGATTGCGTATAAACCTAGAAAATCTCTTATACCGGGTGTTAGGTAAACATACGGCAAAAATTCAAGGAGTTATTCCTTGACCTATTCTAAGAATATTGTGTCCTATGATGATTTTTGAAAAACCCCTTTGTTTCGAAGAAACAAAATTTTCGAAAGTAACAACATAATGGCTCCCTCCAGCCTGAATACAAGCATTCAATCTTCTCGTCGAACTCTTTCAAACACACCACGGTCGTTTCTAATTGAGTTACACCCAGCAATTATCCGATTTCGCAAATTTTCAACATTCTCCACTGGAGTAGCGTAAGCTAATGACTTCAGAGATCCCCAGAAAAAATAGTCCAGGGGGTTTAAGTCTGGGGATCGAGCAGCCCATGCGTGTGGTCCACCTCGACCAATCGAGCGATTTCCGTATATTTCTGTTAAAAATTACGAGCAACAAAACTGAAATGTGGTGGTGCACCATCGCGCATCGTGCATAAACTATATTGCAATTCTTGTCGCGTGTGGTACATCTTCCAGAAACTAAGGCATCGTTTCTGCCAAAAAGTTGCGATACACCAAGCACATCAGTAAGTCTTCCTGGTAGAAATACCGGTCCAATTAGATAATTATCCACAATTCCAACCCAAACATTCAAGGATAATTGATGTTGAAAATGATCTTTGCATACCTCCATCTTCTCACCCCCTTCTCATACAAACCATACGGATTTTCACCTGACCACACATGATTATTATGAAAATTCCTTTTTGTATTGCTTGAGAAACTGGCTTCATCGGTAAAAAGAATCTGTGTCAGGAATAGAAGCATGCGAACTAATGTTTGCAATATCCATTGACATAATGCAATACGTGGAGGAAAATCAGCAGGCAATGTGGTATGCAGGCACTTTGGTTTAATGAGCCTGTTTCACGTAGACGTCGATGAATGTTTTGGAAGATTTTTCGGTTGGGGACATCGTCTAGCTTCTGATGAATTGCCATCAGCAAGTCCATACATAAAATGCATGTCAGTCGTTTAGGCGTTCGTATAAATCATAATAGAGTACTACACTAACTGTTAAAGACACGTCAAACAGCCAAACGTTACTCAATCTAAACAAATGCGATCGATGAGACATATTTAGGTACTTGATAAACTCATCGACGTACGCCGTACTTTTATTTTCATTAATAATTTCAACAAATATCTTCGAAACAAAGCGGTTTTTCAAAAATCATCATAGGACACAATATTCTTAGAATAGGCCAAGGAATAACCCCTTGAATTTTTGCCGCATGTTTACCTAACACCCTGTATAAAAACCTTGAGTATTATGATTTAATTAACTCGTTGGTGATATTATTTTTTCCAGGGGATTTGTTATTCTTCGACTTCATTATTGCTTCCTTCACTTCGTCAGCTGTTTGCGTCT